ACCCCCCCCCCCCCCCCAAACTCATCTAGAAGAACTACCGCCATCTATTGGGGAAAATGTAGGCATTGCAGGGAAAAGCAGAATAACCTAATGATCATACAAATCAAAAATGTGATTTGGACAAGAAGGGCCGGATTAAAAATCCAAACGGGCCGCATCTGGCTCCCAGGGCCATAGTTTGCCCATGTCCCCACCCCCCACCGCAGAGAGAGTGGATGGACTTAATCCAGCTGGATTAAATGTTGACATTTTGACTTCATGACCCACGTGTTGTGCGAAGTGTAAAGACGTATTTGTCCTGTACTACATGAATCCTCAGACAGTTACACACTCCTCCTCACCGTCATCGTCCTGAGGCTGAAGCTGCTCTGCGTTAACCCTTCCCTCCCCTGTGAAAACTGCGTCTCTGCAGGGCCTCTGCTCTGTGGACGTTTATGTAACATGAAGCACGAGAACACGGTGTCCTCCGTCTGCTCCATCACTATACTATGGATGAGTTGGACAATTGTTCGGCACGCCTCCAAACCCTGACCTGTAGTGCAGCAGATATTCATTATGGCGGACACGTGTGAAGAGGTTTGTCGTAAGGACGAGCAGCAGGATGAGACTTCTGAGAACTGTGACGTTCAGTTCACACTGCGCTGTTGTTTCCTCAACCCTTATTGTTAGCATTGTGTCATTAATTGGAATCCGTTTACTGAGAATTTTCTGTTTTTAATTTTCACGTTCATAATTCTGTCATAACTGCCTGATTCTGCCTGGTTTTCCTGGTTTGGGGGCGGGGCAAGGTTGATGATGTAAGACTGCTGAGGGCCAATGTGCTACAGTAGGTCGGATGTTAATTTTTTACTCGACAGATTCTTGAAAACACTGCAGGTAAAACACAGGTCAGTCGTCACTATAGAAGAAGAACAACAACAAGTCATTACTGTATAAACAGACTGTTTATACCAGGGACGTCTATTTACTGTAAGGTGAACTCCCCACAATCAAACATCGCTTTTTTTTGTCTTGGCTAAACGTTGACTAACATGAAAACCAATAATAAGCCAAAGAAATGTACATTTTATTAAATACTAAAGATCCAAAATGCCGTCAAATATATACCACAAAACCAAGAGGCTACAGTAAAAAAAATGTAGCAATTGACAATAAGGAAATCTGATGCAAGTCAGATATTCAGTAGCAGGGCTGATGACTGCTGCAAGTGTTTGTTATTAACCATCATCAGCAGGATTACTAATGTGACCTGAACTGGAATAGAAAAAAATCACAAGGTTAATCCTGATTTAAAAAATGGCTTAATAAACAAATCAAAGGTATTTGTTGACTGGTGGCTGTTGTGTTGTTCCACAGTGACAGGGTACCGTGGGGTAAGACAGCTGAGCATGTGCTGACTCACACTAGAAATCTCGTGATCCTAGACCCCTCCCCACTCCGGGACAACTCCCACTCTACGACCCCTCCCACTGTCTTGTGTTGATGTATGTACGTCTGTGGTCGATTACCAGGCCCCTCCTCCGACAGTCACGTACTACAGTGATGGTATTTTACCACGACACACTAATAAACAGAGCGTGTTTTTTTTTTTTTTATTAATAAACAGAGCGTGGTTTTATTTTTATTTGTTTGGTTTTTTTTCTCACCTATAGTATATTAAATAATTAAAAAATGAATATTTTCAAAAATGGTTTTTAGGATTTAAAATTTCACATTTTATTCTTTTTCACAGCTTTATATATTTTAGTTTATAGAAGATAAAAATACATGGTTTTCATCAAAATACTGTATGTAAATATTTGTTTTTAAATTTGAAATGTCTACTTCTCTGATCAAAAATATAAATAGATGAATTGACTGTGAAATCAAGGTGGTCGGTGTCAGTTTACTGTAACACGTCACAGCACAACAGAGTGTCTGGGTCAGAGGAGGTGAAACTGTCAGGGAAAACAATATGAAGACAATATTCATAGAGAGTTCAACTTTCCTTAACATCCCAGCGAACTGCAGGGCCGGCGTCTGCTTCTATGTCACGCTTTTCTATATTTAATTAGGTGTAACCATTTTTTAGGTTGGTGTTTATGACAGTTATCTTATTGCAAGGAGGTGAAGTTACCTTGAACTAATCAACCACCTTTTCTCCATCACTTTCTGCCTTTCCTTTATTGTTGGGTGTAAAAAAAAAAAATAAAAGAGCTGATCATTTGAAAATATTTTACTTATTTCAACCACTGAAAACCAGTTGTGTAACAAACCTGAGACTAAAACCTAAACCCTTTAACTTTAAAAGTATTTATTTTTCTTCAGCCCAAAGGCAGTTTGGTCTAAAGCTAAATTATTCTAAATATGCTTCAGAAAATGTTGTCAGCTCAGTTTATATTAGAACAAATTTTAATAATTTTTCCACAGGTTTGCACTGCCATCTAGTGGACGAAGTGTCTACCGCTCTATATCAGTTTTTCAGGCCAAGGATAATTAAACCTAAAGAAACAAGTAAAAAAATAATAATAGTAATAGAAATAATAACGATAATTATTGTTATTATCATAAATGTCATATAAAATAATGAATATATAATAATTAGAAAAATTAGGAGCTCCCACCTCCTCTCTGTATTTTCTTTGTTTCATCTACAAATAGCTCAGACTTCCAAACTCTCTCTCTATAATTTTAACTCTATCATTATATATATTTAACGTGTTCATATTATTGATGATTTTTTTTAAATAACTCATTTATTGCCAAGAAGACAACAGTCCAGGCCGTTGACTGGTTCAAAGGCTGTGGAGCTGGTTTTGTTTAACTTGTTGAAGCATCAAAGGGCAGAGTTCTCTGGTCATGTTTTTCTTTTTAAGTAAGACCCGATCAATAATTACCAAACAGGTCTTTCTGGCTGCAAGCTGCCATTGGTGGATCATGGATGGGCAAGACAGTCATAGGACACAACGGTGAGGAGTGATTGCATCAAACCTTCAACAATACAGATTTTTTTTTGGGCCTCACGTCTCAGTCTGCTGTTCTACCGTTGTTGTAGAGGGAAAATCCAACAGAATGTCTGATTTAAAGGAGATCTGCAGCGGTTTACCTCTAGATCCGTTGCCATCCAACCCAGGGCGAGATCCCGGTGTTCCACACGCACCAATCAGGACCCCCAACCTGACGGCACAAGAGGAGCGGGTGAGTAAATACACTACAGAATCACAGTGGGAATATTTTCTAAAGGCCTCGACGTAGCCAATCATTTACGATTACCTCAATGACAACTCCCCAATCAAATCCAATTATTTCATATCCATTTGTCTAATTACTTTACCTGTTGTACAACATAATCACTAATTTGCCTTTTGTTAGTCATGACAGCCACATCATTAAATTTGAATTTATGAAATCCTAAAACCTAAGGAGGAGAAAAAGGAGGAGGAGCAGTCAGAAAGTTCCTGGACAAGTTTTTAAAAAATCTTTGTTGATTAAAACATAGTTATTTCTCCACAAACTTCTTCTTTGTTGTATTTGGGAAATGTTCAGGCCTATTCTAACGAATGAAATCTAGTTTGTTATGAATGTTTTGTGTAGTTTTTTTTAGGAAAATAAGGGGGGGGGGGTCTCCGATTGGAGCTGACGACTCCAAGGCTTCCATCAATAATTAACAGAGATACAGTTAGAACTTTCATAAAACACTGATTTGATCTGAGCTCACCTAACTATCAATGTCTCCTCTCTCCAGCTGGCACTGAGGAATGCTCTCCGCTATTTCCCTCCCTCTGTTCATGCAACACTAGCGCCTGAATTTGCTAAAGAGCTGCGGCAGTATGGACACATCTACATGTACCGCTTCTGCCCCACACTTCGAATGAGGTGGGGCGGTATGACATGACTTAGCTTGACTTAGCTTAGCTTAGCGTAACGTAACGTATTTTAGCTTAGCGTAACGTTATTTAAATAAAGTTAGCTTAGCGTAATGTAGCTTAGTTTAGCGTAACTTAGCTTAGCTTCTTTTTTTATTTAAATAAAACATTATTACTTTATTTAACTCAACTTTACTTGAATTTAAAATGTAAATAAATGTTAAAGTTACCATAAACATGCTGTCTCCCCAGGGCTTATCCCATAGATCAGTATCCATGCGTCACACGCCAGGCAGCAGCTATAATGGTAATGATCATGAACAACCTGGACCCCGCTGTCGCTCAGGTGAGTCTCGTTCCCCACAACGTAAAGTCTCTCACTGTGACAAAGCAACACATAAAAACCCATTAACTCACCTTCTCTGATTGTTGTTGTTTAAATCTTCAGTTTCCCCAGGAGCTCGTCACCTACGGGGGAAATGGTCAGGTGTTTAGTAACTGGGCACAGGTGAGTTTGTTGTGTTTAATTTTTTGTATTTTAATGTATTTTAATTTTTAATATTTTTTTTCTTTTTTTTTTTCTTTTTTTTCTTTTATTTTAATTGACGTGTCATAATACAATAAACTGTATTTGCTTGGATGCGTCATAATACAATAAACTGTATTTGCTTGGATGCAGTTCCGGCTGGTGATGCACTACCTGAGTGAGATGAGCGAAGAGCAGACTCTGGTCATGTACAGCGGTCATCCTCTGGGCCTGTTCCCCAGCCTGCCTTCCTCTCCCAGAGCCATCATCACCAATGGCATGGTAAAAGCACAGAATAAAACTGTAAAAAAAAAAAATTAAATAAATTAAATACTGACAGGTATAAAGATTACTAATCCTCTTGTGATTTACCCAGGTTATTCCAAACTACTCCTCCAGAGAGCAGTATGAGAAGATGTTTGCTCTTGGGGTAACAATGTAAGTCTTAGCTTCTATAGATGTATATAATTTGATATAATTTGATATCGGACAGAGCGGTGCATTTGTATTGAAGCGTCTCAGTGTGGAGATTATTTGCATGCAAGATGAAACTGTTCTGTTCTCTTTCAGGTACGGTCAAATGACAGCCGGCAGCTATTGCTATATTGGACCTCAAGGGATTGTCCACGGCACAGTGGTTTGAATTATTTCAAATTTATTAACATGTTGTATTAAATAATTTTTTTAATTGTTTAATTATGTATTATTATTACAACACTGATCTAATGGTGTTTGTTTTCCCTCTTGTTTACGATGTCTTTCCTTTTTTTAACATGTTTTTTCTGTGCTCAGTTGACAGTACTGAATGCCGGACGGAGGTATCTGGGCACCAGTGACCTGAGTGGCCGTGTCTTTGTGACCTCTGGCCTGGGCGGCATGAGTGGAGCTCAGGCTAAAGCTGCCGTCATTGCTGGCTGCATTGGTGTGATTGCAGAGGTCATTTTTTTTCTTTTAATAACTAACAGCTGAGTGAGTAAACGGAGAAGGACTGGAGAGTCCATGTGACTTGGCATTGAACCTCTGCTCCCTGTGTAGGTGGATGAGGCTCCCCTCAGGAAAAGGCACGAGCAGGGCTGGCTGATGGAGGTCACCAGCAGCTTGGATTTGTGCATCAAAAGAATCAGGTCATCCAATGTTTAACTTGTGGACGTTCTGCACGTTTTGTTGTTAAAAATGTACAACATGTGTATAGATGTATAATCAGTCTCCTGGCTGCAGACAATGACACTTTGTTCCATTATCACAGAGAAACTAAACGCTCCAAAACCCCCCTCAGTCTGGGGTATCACGGCAATATTGTTGACTTGTGGTGAGTGAGAATTCAAAACATTTTACCGCCTAGGTTTGAGTGCAGATGCTAGTATTTTTTCAAACTTTAAATGTCTGATTTTTCTTCCACCAGGGAGAGGCTGCAGCTGGAGTATGAGCGGACAGGAGAACTGCTGGTGGATCTGGGCTCGGACCAGACTTCCCTTCACAACCCATTTAACGGTGGCTATTACCCGGTCCAGCTCAGCTTCCGACAGGCAAACCAGCTCATGACGACCGACCCCGACCGTTTCAAAGCCCTGGTGCAAGACAGGTTAAACACACAGACTTGAGGAGGCGGTAAATATTTTCAGTTGTCACCAAAGCTTAAATATTTCTTCACATCCTCTCACAGCCTCCGAAGACACATCGCAGCCATCAGTAAGCTTTCTGATGCCGGCATGTTCTTCTGGGACTATGGAAATGCGTTTCTCCTGGAGGCACAGAGGGCTGGTCAGTGGTTACACTTCACATTATTATTATTATTATTATTATTATTATTATTTTAAGGCCGGGGTGTCAAACTCATTTTCACCAGGGGGCCACATCAGCAGTACAGCTCTCCCTGGGGGCCAGTAGCAACTGTACAGATCTAACTATTTTAAAACATATTAATAAATGTTTATGCTATTCATTATTATTTATTCAAGTTACAAATATTATTCATTGCTGTGTAATAAAAAAAATTGAATTTATCAGGTGAGGAAACTCTGCTGCATGGACTTTATTAAATTCTTTTTAAGCTCCCGTGGGCCATACAAAAAGGACTTGGCAGGCCAACATTTGGGCCCCGGACCTTGAGTTTGACACATGTCTTAAGGCCTGAACAGTAATAACCGACAAAAATCATTTGTCTGTGGGGTTTTATTAGGAGCTGACGTACAAAAGCCTGGTGGAGGAGCCACAGAGTTTCGATTTCCGTCTTACGTGCAGCACATCATGGGGTGAGATTTTTCTTTTCTGACTTTTTTTGTGACTTATCGTTTCTTCTTCAAGTGAACTGACTTTCTCTTTCCACAGGGACATTTTCTCTTTGGGCTTTGGCCCATTTCGCTGGGTGTGCACGTCTGGTGACCCCCAAGATCTTGTCGTAACAGATAATATTGCTGCTACTGTCCTGGAGGAAATAGGTGTCAATGTGACTGACGGGGTCAGGCAGCAGTACAGTGACAACATCCGCTGGATCAGAGAGGCTGGGAAACACAAAATGGTCCTTAATGTTCTGGTTACCTCTTGTCGCAATTTCTCTCCAATAATGTTCATTTTCACAACTCATTTAGATTTAGCCTTAATGTTTGACTGAATTGTAACTTAGTCTCAATCAAGTTAATAGAAGCACTGACTGGATTTGATTTAGTTTTCGTTTAGTTTTACACTTA